ATAGCCATCCTTCAAACACTTATTTTTATTTAAACTTATTTTGAGTCACCTTCACCAACTACATTTTTAGTTTACAGAAAAAAAAAAAACTTAGGCATGAAATCTTGAATTGCAAATATGTTAACAGCCCAATTTCAGAAAATCCAAAATCTTCCTTTTATCTACTCCTGAGGTACCACTAATAATTATTCATGGATCCGAATATATTTTTACAGCTTCTGACAATTATGTACTCCAATTTTTTTCATGTGAAAGGTGAAGAACTATAAGCCCGGAGAATATAAAGCTATGATTTGTCCAATGTCACAGTTAGGAGAAGTCAGGTTCCTAGGCTCTAGTTTAATGTTCTTTATTCTTTACATCATATTGTCTGCCCCAAAATTATGTGCTTGGGTTCTAAACACAGAGGTATAAGAAACAATCTCTAAAGAAGCATAGTTGGTTTGGGTGACAAGTCTAGCTCACATGAAATAACTAGAAATGATGAAAATAATAGCAAAACAAAGGTATATGGTATAAAGAAAGCTTCTAAGTTCTCTAAAGCCAAGACAGGGTGTGGGTGATTAGTGTGAGAAAGCAACTAAGGGCATGGATACTTGTCAAAGGCTTCTTTTGTAAATTTATGGGAAGTGTCATCATGTCTATAAAATATTCCATAAAATGGAATCTGCCCTTGGAGGTACCTCTAGAACATCAACCATTTCATATCAAGTATAACTCACAGGCTGCTTTCAACTCTGAATCTCATGGAAGACCTCAACTTTTTATTTTTTTTTTTAACTATTCTAACAGAATATTACATTTTGAAAGGATTCCAAGGAGGGAATGAGGATGAGGTAGTAAGAATAACAGATCCTGCAGAGCAGAGAAAAAATAAAGTTAGGTAGTAGGAGTTAAGATTTTTTATAAGAAATTAAAATTATTTTATGAATAGAGGACTAATAGAACTACACTGGGATGGCCTTAAGAATCAAGACTAAAGAAAGTCAAATTAGAATAAAATCCAAGATGCAAGTTGAAGAAAGAATAATCTTCATTTATAAGGACATTACTCAAAGAAACTTAAAAACAGAAAAGTGGTTTTTAAAAGTAAATATAATGCGTTAGGTGAAAAAAGAACTGGCGGATACTATGCTGTAATAACTGTCAACTCCTGTATTTTGTCTGTCATTGTTCCTAAGGATTAGGAGAAGAACAAAATTCCAAAGATATTGTCGGGTTCAAGTTCATTGGCTCTTATCTAATACTACTAGTTTTTAAAGCAATCAGCTATTTTATTTACTTTTCTGTTGAACTGGGGCACCTTTTCCTAAACATTTTATGTAATAAGATCCCCATAACTAATTTCAAACTTCATCTTCAAACTCCTGTGGGAGCCAGAAAAAGCAAACCAAAAAAACAAACTGCCAAAATACCTAGAAGTTAAGTTTTGCCATTTTTAAACAGTCATACACACAAAAAAACCCCACATAAAATAGCTACAAAATAGAAAAGAAAAACTAGTCTGGTAATAAACTCGTAATAAAAAATATGAAAGTGGTCTTGTCTATAGTCAATTATTAAAATAATACTTTGCTCTTGCCAAAAGGAGATGAGCACTTTTATACATGCTACTTTTATTCAAACTGTTTTAAGTGGAACTACAAATAGTTGTCTTTAAACCTATCTTGAATTCCTTTATCCAAATCATGAAAAATTAAAAGGATATTTAAAACAAACATTGGAGAAAAACTAGTAAAAACATTAGCAAAAAAGCCAACTGGATACATATTTTTTAAAAAAAAGAATGAAAGGAGTTTCCAACAACAAAAACATAAACCAAAAAAAAAAAATATACACACACCCACACCCACACCCACACCCACACACATAAGCATTTCATTCTTACAAAGACAGGAAAGCTAATAGCTTGCTCTATTTTTTCTTTAATGGATGACCACAGGAAATAAGACAAAATTTAAAGCACTATCTTAATTCATAAACACAAATATCAGAAACAAAAGGCAACTGATGTGGAGGTTTAAGAATGTGTTATATTTTGAACCCTCAACTGCCAAAAAAAGGAAACGAGTAACATTTTGAAGCCTTTGTTAATGTAAATTAAAAATAGCTATCAGATATAATCCACAGAGAGATATATAAAAAAGAAGAACTAAGAAACAATAACACCAAGGGACAGCATTTTACTAAAGCAAATTACAGTATGATATAATTAACCGTATTAATAATTTATATATGTAAGAGTAATAGCAGTAACAGAGAAGTAAATAAGGAAGAGGAAATATGAACAAGAGGTGCTCATTTAGACTTCCCAAGTTAATATTATGAAGTATACCTTTGAGGGAAATCCATGTTTTCGGCTATATTTCCTATTAGGCCTCAGTTCCCTGTCATTCTGAGGAGGTCTGTCACCTTTCCCTTTTGGACTTGTAGTAACGTCAATGTCTGAAACCTGTTCTTGTGAAGCTGAATTCCCTAGTTTGTCCTCAATGCACGGCCGAATTCTCAGACTAAAAGATGCCTCCTTTATTAAATAGTGTAGCATATTAATTTCTTAACACAAACTCCTGTTTAACATATAAGCCAGCCTTGTAAATACAAAAAATTTACCAGTCCATCCTTTTTTAAAAAAAATAATCCACCTAAACATCTGTACCCCCATAATATGCTGAAATAAAAAAAAAAAAAACACAATCCACCACCACCCCCAATTAAGTTTAACTTAATTAGACTTTTAAGTTTCTGTAGACTAGACTGTTGCTTAGTGTAATTAAACAAGTATCATATCCTAGGCAATTTCCAAGCTATACAACAACTGCTAAAGCATATTTTAACATTTATTCTGCTACGTGTTACTAATCAACTTTCATGATTTTATGTTATGATTTCATGTTGAAAGGAAATTTCATTATGAAGGAAAGTCTCAGCATAGTGAATAGTTTCAATGCCAGTATATAAATTATAATCAACTATACAATTTCCCACCCCTCCGCAACATAATTTCTTTTCCCACATTGCCCCAACCCTTCCATTTCTGCTGGAATAAAAGGAAAAAATTATTCCCAGCACCACTGTAATTAGAAAAACAATTTCCCCACAGTAGAATCCATTCTTCAACAACTGTTTGGATCAGACCCTCTGAGTGTCTCCTGGTGAAAATAATGTAGAGAAAAAAAATTCAGATTTCCTCTTCAAATTAAGAAGGGTAGGGAAGAGAAAGGGGGCAGATAAGAAACTATGCAGACTAATACTAAAAGGAAACAAACCCTCAAATTCCTGATGCTGAATGGTATTCTGGAACATACCACAAAAGTAAAAGATATACAAGGTTATCCTCTCAAAAGAAAAGCTTTACTGGTCTGTTATAGGTTTTAAAGTTTACAAATGCATGGTTATAAGCCCATCTATTAGAAATGCTTAAAAGCACACTAATTTAGAAGCAAACTAAGAACTAAGTTTATTTTATAAATCTTTCCTCAAAGTTTTGTAAATTCCTAAATATTTTTCCTAAAAATAGAATTTTCATAAATTTGATTTTGCAGAGTCAGAAATTACAGTACTATTCTGTGAATAAATCACAATGTAAATGCTATCCTTTTCCCATTTACTAGCCTTTAACTCATTTTTTCAGTCATCTAATTTTGCTACTATACTAGACTAGAAACTGAGAAACCAAAAATTCTAATACCCTTAAAGAGCCTTTGGTGGCAAATGAACTTGGGAGACTTTTCCAATAGACTACATGCTAAATAATCACTAATGATACCTATAGCCCTTATATTCACAATTAATTTTAACTTTCCCAAAGCTTCGTAAAATTAGCAAAGTCGTGCTTAACAAAACTAGAAAAACAATGTTTCTGTAAGTTGATAATCAAAAATCACTGGATTTTCAAATTAACCACTAAAACTATTTTTAATGTTAATAAATAAAACTTGTAAATGTCTGTTGATTAAACACAGAAGAATATATACAGCATTAACAATTTGAAGGTTTCTTCCCTGGAATACATTTTTCATTAAGGAATACCTAAAAAATACCATCTTGAAAATTGGGGAAAAAGTTTAAATCTTCATTTCCAGCACATTAATTACCAAAAAGCCGCTTACCGTGGTATCTGAAGCCTCAGACTGCACATCTATGTTTAGCGATGTGCTCTCAGCTACAGAACCAGATCCCACAGCTGAATCTATAGTCCGAACATCCTCCTCCTCATTTTCTCTAGCCTGAAATATTTTAGTGGTATAAATCATACAACTATTAGAAAGGGCAATAAAATGTTATAATGGATGGCACGATTTTTTGAAAATATGTTAACTCCTCTGGGGTGGCATCAGAATGTTATACTACAAAAATAACTCAATACATGATTAAAAAGGTCTAAAACTTACTAGGATTTTTTGGAGAAATTTCATATATGACTTTTCTTGTTCTTTAAGATGATCTATTAGATGAGTAAGGCGCTCAACATTAGCAGATCTTTCATTTTTCTCCACAAGATCTTCTCGCATGGAACTTGCTTTAGTAATATAATCACGAATTTGAACAAGCCTGCTTACAATCTGCAGGGGAAATATTAAAAGAAAAATAAGCATGAAAATACACAATATATAAAACTGAGTCTAATTAACTCAACAGCAACAGTTTTATAAATTTTTATTTCAAAGATAATAACCAAATATATTTCTAGGTTTATTGTGTGAATTCATACATGCAAAAAATCTGAATCAAACTTAGATTTTAATCAAAACATAACTGATAACACTGAAAACTTCAATCACTGTCAATTTAAAAATAAATTTCTAGGTTTATTGTGTGAATTCGTACATGCA